ACACGAGATTTCATATACATCTAACACTCATAACACACACTGCCACACCCTCCCCCCACACAACCACACACAGAGGCACACCCACACACTCACACACTCCCCTCCACGATCCTCCTGGTAACTACGGTGCTGGTACTCAAGGTGGAATTTCTCTCATGATAATCATTCTCCTCCCTCTCTCTTCCCTCTTCCTCCCATTCCCCTGAGATTTTCACACAGGGTCATTCCTTTAAAAGTTTATTTCTGGTGAATAAACAAAATAATTTATGTGACCAGATCCAGAGTGAAGACACAGGACAGGCAGCAGAGTGTAACGCTTTTGTCTGCTCCTGGATCTGCGGCTCAGTGAGAGCTGCTGGGTGGAACCCCGCCTCCGGGAAGCAGGGCACATGGACTCACCGCGGCTGGGAGGCGGCGCGGAGGAGGGCCCAGATCCAAACCTCGCGTGCAGAACAGAAGTGGACTGCTTGCTTTTCTCGGCAGTCAACACAAGCTCTGCCACATGCCTGCTCCTAATGAGCATAAACATACGCGCCCAGCAGATGCTGAGACGAGCAGTTGTCTCGGGTACTTTAAACATGACACTTGGACACCACGTGGGGGAAGACCCCTCCCCAGAGGCCGGCACTTGGAGGATACTGTGGGGAGGTGCGGCCTGACTCCCAGCACAGCTGTCAGGGTCTGAGGGTCCCTGCACTCCACTCCGCTTAGCCCGAAGCGAACATTTCCCATCAACCCCTTGGGTTCTGGGAGCGGCCATTGCCGAGGTCAGCAGAGGGGATGACCCCTGAACGTGTTGACAGTCTAGCTGGGTCCCGGGCAGAACCCCCAGAGGCTCTGCAGAGCCCAGACTCAGAGCTGGGGACACTGGGGGGGTCACCGAGGAGGCAGGCTCATTAGCAGGAGGCCCCCGCGAGTGGAGCCACGGCTTGCTCACCACGTCGCCCTGCTGCCTGGTGCCAGGTGAGGCTGTGGCCTTGGGACTGCTCTGGTGGCGGGGTTCACGCTGGGTGGTTATAATGTATTGATAAATTGGGAATGGCTTTGGCTGCCCATATACTCACTGACTGGTAAAACCGGTCGAGAAAGCAAGCAGGGAAGGCCTACCGAAGCCTGAAGGGT